ATATTTCCTCCTTGTAGGAGCATTCTCTGTAAACCCTAGAGATGGTTGTGCATGAAAATCCCAGTAGATCAGCAGTTTCTGAAATACTCAGATCAGCCCGTCTGGCACCATCAACCATGCCACGTTCAGTCACTTAAATCACCTTTCTTCTTTTTTTTCATTTATTATCATATTTATTTATTTTTATAAATAATAATAATACTAAATCCATACATTTATAAATAATGAAATACATAAATAAACAAATAAGTGTAACAAAAGAAAAATAAATCGTGTAGGACACAATTATTTTGAATGAATATTTTTTCCTTCATTTATTACTTTCTGCACGTGTCATTTATATAGTTTATTGTAAACTGCAATCATTTATTTTCATATTTATTCATTTATCTCTTTATTTAGTCATGTGTTTTTATATTTCATAAATAATAATAATAATAATATACTAAATGCATCAGTTTCTAAATACACATTGCAATCCGTCAACAGAAGCCACTCAAACTTTAAGAAGACTCTATTGAGTGGCACTTTAATGGTCTGATCAGCAGTAAAAGTCGTTATTTCAAAGCTAATGAAAATAGCCGTGCACATTCTGCATCTCGAAACGCGCATATATGTGATGATAACACAAACGATGTGTTCGCTTTTTTGTCTCTAAGGAGTTCCCAAAAGCTGTCTTTAGCCTGAAGCAGACCTGATCCTTCAGACTGGGGATTGAGGTGAACTCCCTGGTGATTCTACAGTCCAAATATGCAACATGCAACACAGAGCTGCAAATAAAGTCCACCTTACGCCATCTTTGAGTCAAGTTTTCTCGTGCTGAATTGGTTCGACACATGCACACGCTATTGCATGCTGAGGTCACTGGCTCCATTGTTAAATAAGGAGCGTGACGGCTCTGAAACACAATATCCAAGGAAAATGTTTGTTATTTGTATAAGCCCGATGGAGGACATGTTGGGAGATTCCTGTGCTTTGAGACATGGAGTGTATGAGCAGTGTTAAACAGATGGGGGGGTTTTCTCCATCAAGTCAGAATGTTGTACTGCTCCACATGGGAGAAGACGTCGAAAATAATCACTGTTATGAAACAATAAATAGCTGGAAATTACTCAAAACACCAAGAAATCTGAACAGGCGGTCATGGATAAAGCAAGGAAGCAATTATTCTAAAAATAGGACATACTTTTGGCGATGGCAATACTTTATTTAAAGTGCCCCTATTATGCTGCTTCAAAAAATATATCATATTTTAATTTTGCTATTTTATTTTTTAAGGACCATGAAATAGTTTCTGGCAATGGAGATTCATGAACATGGGTGTGTGTAAATCTTGAAAGAATGAATCTTAACTATAATGATGCTTCTAGGGTTACTGATCCAGTTATAAACATGCCATAATCATACTGTTAATATTTTTATCCCCGATGAGTTTATTTGAATTTATTGAATGGGATAGCCCCTTGAGATGAATCATCTCATTTTCGAGGGGGTCCCTAAAAAGTTTACAAGTCAAACAGAGTACAACACATCATAAAGTACATACACTTGACAAGACAAACAAACAAACAATCAAACAAGCAGCACACTCCACCTGAAACACTTCCCACAATCCGAAGCCTAAATAAGCAACAACATATAATCAAAAGTACAAACTGTTTGATATGCAAATAAATAATGAACATTTAATTTGGAGCCAAATTTAATAACATTTGCAAGTTGTTTCCAGAAGATAAAATAAATTAGCCCTGAAAAGACAAAGTGATTTAATTGATCTAAAAAAGGAAGGGAGATTGGGCCCTATCATACACCCGGCGCAATGTGGCGCAAGGCGCAGCGCAGTAGTCTTTTGATACTTTCACCTCGGCGCAAGGGTCATTTTGAGGCGTTGCGCCATGCTGTTTAAATAGCAAATGCATTTGCGCTCAAATGTGCGCCCATAGGCTTTCTGGTCTAAAAAAGCAGGCGTGTTTTGGCCCGTTGCTATTTTGAGAAACTGTAAATAGTCTGTTCTTTAGACCAGAACAAAGTCGGTCTAATGTCTGGTGCAAAGTGCGCCTGGCTTACACACTACACACAAGATGCATACGCAAATATCTTTACATATGAAAAAGATATAATATATTAGGGATATATATAATAAGGATATATATAGGATATAAATATAAATGATTAAAATATTACAAAAAATATTAATTTCTAGCCTACATGAATTTAAAAACCACTGCCGTCATACTTTCTTCATCTCGGGAGGCTTTTTCAGTTCATTCAATTTGCTTTTGTATAATGTTATTATTATTATTAGCAGCGTTATTTATTATATCCATATTTATATTTGTTTTATTAAAAACAAGCTTAGATTTGTCCACCTGTCAGGTTTTAGACCATATGGGGCATGGCAGGTGTATTTGGAAATAACTCAGTATTTTGAGCACACTTTGTTATTATTGTTCATTTATTCGTTTGCTGGAAATTAGAACTGAATTTAGAAATAGTTTTGAAATGAATCTTTGCGCTTAACAAACAAAATTAATTATTCATAGGCTAATTGATGTCTGTGCGTAAGGTTTCCCTATTCACGAGAGCAAAAGTGAAAGTGAACTTACTTTACGTCATGTTAATAGCAATGCGCTTATGGCGTGACGCAGCTGGCTCTTAAAGGGAATGGGAGATGAGACTCTGATTGGTTTATTCTCAAAACACACCTATAACTCATTAAGAAAATAAACTCAACCCTTTTAGACCATGCGCCACGGCGCAAAGCGGATTTTCCCGTCCTTAAATTAGCAAAAATGCGTCCCGACACGCCCTGAAAGCCTTTTTTTTACACATTTAAAAAGCAACAAATATCAATGATACTGTCATGGGAACTTCAGTAGAAGCAAACCAAGTGTTTTGTATAATATACAATGATGGGTTCTACACTGAAATCCCTAATAAGTTGACTGAACTAAATTAATTAAGTAAACTCCTTGCCTCAATTTAATTGAATAATGGAATCTCCCAAAACTTGCATATTTAAGTTCATTTAACTTAGTACTTAGTTGGTTAACTGAACAATTTAAGTATAGTCTACAAAACCGGCAAGTTAAATAAACTTAAATATGCAAGTTTTGGGAGACTTCATCACTCAATTTAATTGAGGCAACAAGTTTACTCAATTAATTTAGTTCGGTCAACTTAATACGATTTTCAGTGTATAAGGACATCTTAAAACAAATCGACACAGAGAATTGAAGACAGTATTTAAAGGTTTTAAATTAATATCAGAGGGATTGTTATAGATAATAACAGCATAATCAATGATAGGAAAGATTAATTGAGAGATCAAATGTCAATCATTCATTAAATGAAAAACAATTAATAGAACGATAGAGAGAACCTAAGCACCGATATGACTTTTTAATTATACAGTCAATATGGGGTTTAAAGGACGCAATTTGCAATTGCGTTTATAATGCAATTATTAATGGCACCTTGCTCAATAATAATTCTATTATTATGATCTAATGATGTTTAATAATACAGACATTTATTTTCTTACATCATAGACTAAGCAGTTGAGACAAATGAAGAACAAGTTAAAATGAGGTATAAGTAATAGGATGGTCTTCCCCGAGGTCTCCTCCCGGAGGGACATGCCTGGAACACCTCCCTAGGCAAGCGTCCAGGAGGCATCCGAAACAGCTGTCCAAGCCACCTCAGCTGACTTCTCTCGATGTGGAGGAGCAGCGGCTGTACGCTGAGCTTCTCCCGGGTGACAGAGCTCCTCACCCTATCTGTAAGAGTGCGCCCTGCCACCCTGCGAAGGGAACTCATTTCGGCTGCTTGTATCCAGGATCTTATCCTTTCTGTCATGACCATAGGTGAGAGCAGGAGCATAGATTGACTGGTAAATCGAGAGCTTTTCCTTTCGGCTCAGCTCCTTCTTTACCACAACAGACCGATACATCGACCGCTGCACGATCCGCCTGTCAATCTCACGCTCCATCCTTCCCTCACTGGTGAACCCCAAGATACTTGAACTCCTCCACCTGGGGTAAGGGCTTTCCGTCAATCTGGAGATGGCAAACCACCTTTTTTCCAGCAGAGCACCATAGCCTTGGACTTGGAGGTGCTGATTCTCATCCCAGCCGCATCACACCGCATGCTGAAGGTCCATGTTCGATGAAGCCAACAGAAAAACATCATCTGTGAATAACAGAGATGAAATTCTGCAGCTGAACTGGACCATTCCAGCCCAAAGCTGCACTTTAAAATTCTGTCCATAAAAAATTATGAACAGAATCGGTGACAAAAGGCAGCCCTGGGAAATGTTTGAAAAATATTACTAATTTTAAAGGAGGCTGATCATTTCGTCTTGTTCATATACAGTTGAAATCAGAATTATTAGCCCCCCTTTGATTATTGATGTCTTTAAATATTTCCCAAATGATGTTTAACAGGGCAAGAAAATTTTCACAGTGTGTCTGATAATATTTTTTCTTCTGGAGAAAGCCTGATTTGTTTTATTTTGGCTAAAATAAAAGCAGTTATTAATTTTTAAACACCATTTTAAGGGCAATAATATTAGCCCCTTTAAGCAATATTTTTCGATAGTCTCCAGAACAAACCATCGTTATACAATAACTTGCCTAATTACCCTAACCTGCCTAGTTCACCTAATTAACCCAGTTAAGCTTTTAAATGTCACTTTAAGCTGAATAGAAGTGTCTTGAAAAACATCTAGTTAAATATTATTTGTCATCATGGCAAAGATTAAATAAATCAGTTATTAGAAATGAGTTATTAAAACTATTATGATTAGAAATGTGTAGAAAAATTCTGCTCTCCACTAAACAGAAATTGGGGAAAAAAATAAACGGGGTCGAATAATTCTGACTTCAGCTGTATTTATGCATCACATATTCATTCAGTTGCACTGTTTATAATTAGCCATGTAACACTTAATGACTTTAACGGTCACATTTACAAACAAAACTGAAATTAGACACTTCATGTTCGATCAAATATTGTTTATTGCGTCCTTCTGAAATATCTGATCACAGTAGAAAAGGTTTTAAAACACGGTCTCGAAGAAGAACCAAAAGCGTATTTGGCTGTTTCATCCTTAATGATTGACTGTCAAGAGCTGAGAATAATGAAAGCAGATTAGTTAATTAAGATCATTACAATGAATCGTTAGATTAAGAAATAATAATGTTGATTTTTAAAAACATTTTTGTAAACAAGTCATATTTCATACAGCAATCAAAAGAAAACAGAGCAACGACAACGTACAGTGATAATGATAAAAGTAATTCCGAGCTCTTATAAGAAAAAGTCCAAATGTATATAAAGTATTATAATATAATAAAGCACATGTTTTTATTATTATGTTGGGTTGCAATTAAAATCAGAGTAAATAAAAACTGGAGCAACAAAGAGGAACTATCAAACTATTGCCACTTCTTCTTCATCGTCATCTTCATCTTCATAGTAGCGGTTCCTCTTGATCATTTCCTCCACGGTCAGTGACTCCTCAGCCTCCTCACCCTCCCAAAACCCCACATCCTGGGACGTCCTGAGGGCTTTTTCCTCCACAGACGCAGAAAACTGGAGCTCAGGTTTCCTTTGCAGTCTTCCCTTATCCTCAGCAGCTCCGTGTTCTTCTATCTCAGGCTCCTTTTTTGTTTGTTGTACTTTAATTTCCTGTTTAGCTAGTTGTAGCTCCTCCTCCTTTCTGTTTAATTGCATCCGAGACTCCTTATTTGGTGTTTGAAGCTCCACCTCCTTTTTGTTCACTAGCTCCTCCTCCCTTCTGTTGAATTGTAACTGAGACTGCTTATTTGCTGGTGGTAGCTCCGCCTCCTTTTTGGTCACTTGTGTCTGAGGCTCCTTATTTGGTAGCTGTAGCTCCGCCTCATTTCTGTTTAACTGTAGCCGAGACTCTTTATTTGGTGTTTGTAGCTCCGCCTCCTTTTTGGTCACTAACTCCTCCTCCTTTTGATTTAATTGTATCTGAGACTGCTTATTTGTTGGTTGTGGCTCCGCCTCCTTCCTGTTGAACTGTCTCCCAGCCTCATTTTCTGTCTGTTGTTCTCCCTCTATGTTCGTGTGTTTGAGAATTGAAGTTGGCATCTTTTCCTTCTTCTCGATCTTGGATTGGCCGTCGTCCTCCTTCGTCTTCGCGTCAGGGATTTTTTCCTCAGTTTTAGCCGTTGACCTAGAGCGCAGGTCCTCCAGCGAGCCTCGTCGGACCGCCTTTGGTGCGGATTGCGCGTCTTGTTTTGAAGGGTTGGAGCTCAAGCTTGGCGCTAGGGAAAATGGCCGACTGCGCTCTCTGAGAGATGTGCTTCTCCGTAGGGTTTTCAGCTCCGCTCTTTCCGTGCTCTGCTGAGAAGATGGAGACTCATCCTCCGGGGGCCACTTTGCTCTGAAAAACCTGGACGGACCCTTGCTGACTTCAGCTGGACTGGAGACTTTGGCTCCTCCATCACTGTCTGCAGGGGGAGGCCATGCGACTCTCAGTTTCCTGGTTTCCGCAGACGTGCTTTGAGGTCTTTCTGTTTGACTTCTGGACTCTATAATTGGGGTCTGCTCTGTGAATTTGGCCCCTCTGTGCGACTCCTCTGCTTTTTCTACAGGCTTCACTGACACAGAGTTGGAGTTTTCCTCCGGTTCCTCCTGGCTTGTTCGTGGAGACCACATTTCCTTGTGTTGTTTGTGGCCAAAGCCTTCGTCGTAGTTGCCTTTAGACTTGAAGAGCTGGTTGAAGTGAGGCTTACAGTAGATGCTGCCATGCAGGGAAGCAAACGCTGCCAAACTGAAATGAAAGTAAGCACATTATTCATACATACTATTGAGGGCTTGAGTGTTACAGTTTATTATTACACGGCCAATCGGAATACTTGATTCTGATTGGTCAGTCGTGACATTCCAATTTATGTTATGCTAGGGATAAAGCACATACAGGCAAGGATGGGAATGTGGTGTAACTGAGAACATGATGATGGCTTAGATCAGGGTTTTTCAAAGTCTAATGGTGCTTTCACACCTGTGAATCGATTCAGTTGTTCCGAAACAGAGATTACGATTGTTACATTGTTGCTCTTTGCTCTTGGAGCGGTTCACTTTCACACTGCAAAGTTTCTAATCGGACCAAAAGAGCTAAAACAAGTCACGTGCGAGTAAACTCTCCTCACATTAGTCAGAGTGTCAGGGTTTGTTTTGCAGCGTCCCGCTAAGCTGTCAGGAGAGGTGGTGGTTTGGTGGTGCGTGCTACTTGTCTGAGGAGTGACGCGGTGGTTTGGTGGCGCGTCCTATGTGTCTGAGGAGAGATGCGGTGGGGAGGGGTGAGAAGGGTGTGCGACGATGCCTATTTGAGGACCGGGAGGAAGACGTGAGATTACCGGGAGATCATCACTCGTTTGCGGGCATCCGGAGACTCGCGAAACTTCCCGCCCTACTCATAATTCTCTCTTCATATAGCCGTAAGCCTATTACATATCCATAAAACACTGTGATATAACCGCGCTCGGATCGGATCGCTTTCTCACTGCAATCGAACCGCTCCAGGGTTCGTTTCAATCGAGCCGAGACCACCTCATTCAAGAGATCTCGGAGCGATTACTTTGGCGCGGAACAGAGCGCGATTGCCCTGTTCACATATGCCAAACGAACCGCGCTAACTGGGCAAACGAGACACGTTCCGAAACAAAAGTGTAGGTGTGAAAGCACCCTAAGACAGTGGGCCTCCCTTTTGACACAACTTATTTATTGGCGCCCCCCTTCTCCCAAACACAAAAGATTCGCACACACAAAAAATTATGGATGTTTTCCTGATACCTCATCATGCTTGGTTTCAAGGTGTCGCCGAAGTTTAGCGGGTCTCATGCTGTCATTAGCCAAAATATCTTGACCAACCACACATTTAGGTCGTGGTTCATCAGCTGGTCCTGTCCACGTAAATCCTAAACTCAAATACTGACCATCATATCGTCGTCTTTTGGGTTTAAGCCCTGAACTTGAAGGCTTTGAATTGGGGGGTCTCAGAAACCGATCCATTGTATTAGCAAGCACATACCTGTATTGGCGGGCTGCCAAACAGAAGTGAATTCACAGCTATGGCCTTCTGGGTAAAAAAGGTTTTCTTATTTTTGACGTATTATTTTTTTTTTAGCTTTGTTTAATTTAAACATTAAAAAAAAAAAACTTTAATAATTAAACTTAATAATTATATTTTTATTCTATAATATTTTTTCCCGCGCCTCCCCTGACATGCTCTGGCGCCCCCCAGGGGAGCCGCGCCTCACACTTTGAAAACCCCTGGCTTAGATAGAGTACAATTCCATTGTTTGCTAGTCAGAGGCAGAGTAGTGTGGATGTTCACACACAAGTACACGCGTGGTCAGTCGCACACACCGACGACCAAGAGTCAGAACGATGGCAAATTCAGCAAGTTCAAAGGTAGCGCTTCCAAACTGGAAATATAAGCAATACTTTTGCCTCAGGGAGGTGAAAGGCAAGAATGTTTATGTATTGTTGTTTATGTCAGAATTAAACAGAATTGTCAGACAGAATTAAACACAATAATATCTATATATATGTGGTTGAGGACATGCTGCCGCCGTCTCTTACATTGTCCCACAACAACATTCAAATTGTGTTGATTAGTGTACAACGCTTTATATTTATTTTTATAGCCATTTGACATTAGATTTTTTTTTTACTTTCCCTGGTGATCAATTACTTTGATAATTATGTAACTCCATTACTATTTGTGAGAAGTAACTAGTAACTATTACTAATTACTTTTTTAAAAGAAAGTTTAGTTTCTGTCAGCTTTGTGTTTCTGAATGCTTGTCTCCATCTTTTGTCTGAATAATGTGCAGGTTAGTGTATACTCCATCAGCTGTTTTCGTTTCTATCATCTTTGTGTTTCTGACTGTTTGTCTTCATCTTGTGTCTGAATAATGCGCAGGTTAGTGTATACTCCATCAGCTGTTTTCGTTTCTGTCAGCTTTGCCTTTTATTAAAGACTTAATAAACTATTATGGCTCAGAACAACGTTTAGTGTCTAATGTTTATGTTTTGTGGGAAATAGGCATGTAATAAGCAGGAATAAAGTACAACCAGGATGATTGTTTTTGCAGAATAAAAGCCCTTCGGTCTTATACAACAGTGCTCCGCTTTGTGTCGGGCGGCCGATAAACTTGTCAGGATTTATTCTGTAAAAACAACCTACTGCTTCTTCTTTATCTCTTATTAAACAATGACAATGAATGAATGAATGAATGAATGAATGAATGAATGAATGAATGAATAACCTGAGTTTGGTGCTACAGACGGCACAGCGGAAGCACTTTTTGTGATAAATCTGCTGATTGGCAACTAGTCTTTCCAGCTGGTAAACAGTCTGCTGGCAGGACACACATCTGTCCGGGACGGCCACTTGAAATGGCTGTAAAGAAAAACACAACAGTTATAGACATCTCTTCTTCAGCGCAATTCCTCAGTGTTAACAACATCCGATTAAAAATCCATATTGGCAGTGAGCGGACTATGAGAAAAATGTTTTTAAATTTATACCACAGGGCTGTTAAATGCTTGATTCTGATTGGCTGATGAGCATTCTAAGGTGTGCTGTTATTTTCAGATAAATGTACAGCTAAAGTAGTTCCGGCAGGTTTTGATTTATGCTGAAACAAACCATTTGAATTTATTTAAACATTAAATGTAGCATCCTTACTCGTACTATGGGGTCTGTTGAATGGAATTGGCTGATGAGGATTCTACGGCATGCAGTTATTTTCAGATAAAGGCAAGATGTCCTCGCTGCATCTAGCAGCTTGATGACGGATTGTCAAAAACATAGCAGACCTTGTACCATGCATTGAAGTAACTTGTTTTAAATTGTAGGCAATCGTCCTTGTACCGCCCTCTAAAGTAATGCCCATGCTATTGTGACTGTTAGTTTTAGGGTAGGGGGAGGTGTAGGAGATTGTCAACTACGTAGTGGACCATGTACCGCTCACTAAGGTAGCGCCCATGCTACTGTGATGGTTGGGTTTAGGGTAGGGGGAAGTGTAAGCGATAGTCAACTTCTACTGCCGACAAAGGAAACGCCCATGTTACTGTGACAGTTGGATTTAGGGTAGGGGGAGGTGTAGGCGATCGGCAAACTATGTAGTGGGCCTTGTACCGCCCACTGAGGTAACGCCCATGCTACTGTGACAGTTGGGTTTAGGGTGGGGGGAGGTGTAGGCGATCATCAACTACGCAGCAGACCTGGTCAAATACGTCATCAAGCTGTGGGCTGCAGGGAAGACTGTCTCGATAAATGCACAACTAAAGTAGTTCCGGCAGGTTTTGAGCACATTACAGCTCCATACCACTACGCTGAATGATTTGAGTCATTTCACAGCTACAACAGTCAACCATCACATCAAAACACAACAGAGGGCTTTGGATGAGAAACTTTGAGGACAGTTTGAGGACAAAAACCTACACGAATATCTGAAATTTAGCATCTGAACAGCGGCTTTAAGTTTGGTAACAATATTGCAATATTATTTTTGCCATTGAATTTGACGATTAAATTTTTAGTGGCTAAATATAAATGACAATACACAATTTCATAAGACAGTGATGAGGCATTACAAGGATCATCAACATTTTAAATCCTCAAATGTTTACAGTATTTTGATTTTAAAAAAATGTATGTACAATTTTAAAGCTATACTTAGTATTTCTTTCAAATCACAAAAAAAAAAAAAAATCAACATGATATCTGAAGCAGTCTTGTGAGTTTATGAGGACTCCATCTCCCATGATTCCACACTTAGTCATCAAAATACAACTTTGTTTGTTGCAAATACACTCCCTCTAGTGGCGCTTTTAAATCTTCACATGAACAGAACACATATTAGATCATTAGTATTGTAAGCAGAATTAAGAGCACAGACCTTGGTGACCTTATGAAACTCTTTGTTCTCTGATAAAAGAGTTTCAGTGCCGGGACTTGATGCGTTTACATACTCTCCTAAAGAAAACACAAACACACATGACTATATTCTGTACCAGTGGATGTACTGAATATTTAATGTCTCTATGATAGTTTCAACAGTACTTTCCATCCACAATTTACATCACTTAATTCATGAAGCGCTTAATTACATTAATAATAGCTTTCTAATGCTTTGACCTCACAATAATGACTATTTATTAAATCAGCTTATGGTTTCAGATTCATATAGAATGAATGAACTCACCATTGATATTTGCGATGTTTGTTCCAGGGACTTTGCTCTGTTTTTAGTCAGAAAAATAGAGAAGAAACAAGCAATGAGAAATACGGTAGCATACTTGTTCAGTTCAACCTCTCCACCTGGGTTAAAGACTCACATGTGTCCTCGTAATTCAACGCTCTTACAAACAGACTTATTACATCAGGTCTTTTGATATTTAGTTTTTGGGTTGGGTTTAAGGAAAAAGTAAGGGTAAGGCCTTATAATAAGGTTTATAATAAGGAGTATAAAATGCATTACACCTATGGAGTAAGGTCATCATAAACCACCAAAACTTGTATGTGTGTCAGTCTTCACACTGAACAAAATGATTGATTAGATTTAAAATCTTGTTTTTAGGTAAGTGGTTGCAAACAATTGTTATGGGCTGAATGTACACAAACGAATTAATTTTAGTAAAACTCATTAGTGAAACTTAATTTGTTTGTTTAAATTCAGCTCATATAATTTGTTTCCCTACAGAAAAATCCAGCCTAAACCAGCCTAGACTGGTTAAAGCTGGATTTTTCAGCATGGTAGCAAATAATTACCTCAAAACAAATTTGTAAATCCAAGGAATAATGTTTTTTTCAGTGAAGTTATTTAGAGAACTAAATCCTACCAATGTGCGCCCATGACCAGCAGATGGCGCCATCTCCTTGCTATCAGCGCAGAAAACACTGTCATCTGCTTCCGATTGGCTGGCCTAAATCAAACAGACAGTTATTATGATCATTATTATTAATATCGATGACTAATCAGAGTAAACACCCCTCAAAACATGCAGATGCATACTACTGAAAGATCAGAATACACTTTCTTTTACGTGTTATTGTCCCACATGAAAAATACCATCGTGATTTTGAAGGATACTACAGTAAAGTGCATTGGTACCTTCACAATAAGATAGTATTAGGTAATGTTAGTTAATGCATTTACTAAAGCCCCAATAAGATCACTTGATTCTTATTGTCGGTTACGAAAGTCGCTACGTCAGATTATGCCATTTAGTCTTGCTAAAATTAATATTATTAACATTAATATATTAATATTATTAATAAAATTAAATTGTTTATTATTAGTTCATGTTAACTCACGGTGCATTAACTTATGTTAACAAGCAGGAATTTGCAAGTAAATAATGCACTAGTAAATGTTGAACTGTCATTAATAAATGCTGTACAAGTATTGTTCATAATTAGTTCATATTAGTAAACACATTAACTAATGCAAGCTTGTAAAGTGTGACCAGTGTATTACATATTGTAGCACACTGAAGTATTAACCAAAGTTAACTGATAACAAATCCTGTAATATACTTTAGTTTTAACTGTAAGCAATATGTGCTATAGTAAACTGCAGTATTTGGTTATTTGTTTATATTGCTATAGTTGTTGTGTTATCATATGACTGGGACAGATTCATTCACGTATCTTACAATAATAAGCTTCAAAAACACTGAAGTATTTACTATTCACTCTTCATACAGCATGTAACTTTTGCATGATTCAGCTGTTTCTTTGCATCTGTGCATACAGTAAACATACTCACCGAGCGGGAGACTGAGGCCTGCTTGCAGACTGCTAGCTGATATCTGGTCAATCTATCTTTAATGGAGCCGGTGCGTTTTAAAGGGGATGTGCCTGTCACAAAGGATAATATTTTCCCTTTCTCAAACAGAAAATATTGCATTGATAAGAGTGTGATGAAATGACTTTTGTTTTGTTTGAGTGTGTGTGTGTGTGTGAGTGATTTGGGTGTATTCACCTTTGCTGGCCTTCAGTGTGTCCCCATCCTCTGAGCTGCCGTTAGCATCTGTGTGCACCTAAAAAAATCAGAAAAAAACTGTTAACAAGTGACATACTGAAAATATACAGCGGGGAACATAAGTATTGAACACATCATGTTTTTCCCTGTGAATAATATTTCAATAGGAGTTGACATGGAATTAAAGCAGATTTTGGTAAAAACCCAAACAATACAAACAGATAAAACAAAACAAACAAATCTGAAAAATGAGTTGTGTGTAATAACAATGAACAATGTAATAACAAGGAGAAACTCCTGAACTACTGAAATGTGTTCAACACTTTGTGAAGTTTAGTTTTAAACTAATTTCGAGAGGAGCATGTGCTCATGATTTACCCAGCTGGTCCACATTAACTAATTATGATCCTCCAATCGAAGGATCCCAAATCACTATATATATATCCTCATTTCCTTTCTACAACTATCTTCGTCTGGAAGAAAGCTTCCTACTTCTAAAAAGCTTTAGCTCTAAAAGCTTTTACAGCATTGCACTTTTTAGCCCATCAATATTGAAATAACCAACAATATCTACAACTGCAACCAGAGCCCTGCTCTCCCTGAGACTTCAGCCACTGCAATGAAGCCAAACTCTCACCGCTCTTAGCGGTCCACCTGTGGTAACGTAGTATGCTTTAAGGGGAAACTTCTCTCTTTAAGGAGAAACTACTCTCCAACAAGATTAAACATTTCTTACGTCTTTAGAAAGGCAAGACTTTCATAAATAAAAAATAATTTAAACCATTTTAAAGACACAAACACTATGGACTTAACGTCCTCCTATAATCTGTAAACAAGCAGAGATTATAACAAACCAAATAAACCCACCTTTCAAGCTTGCTGCCTGTTCACAGGTCCATAACATTTTAACAGCCTGGCTGATTTCACTGCAAGGATCAAAGCAATCCAATCCGAAAAACTTTAGTCCACAACATGTTTACATGTTGATAAACATACATGGATACACTGCTGTCATCCAAACTTGTTGCTGGAGTGCTTTCAGTACAGTAGTATCTTTCAGACAAAAACACTTGTATTATAGTCTAACAAAATGGCTGCCGACCTTTTGATTGACACTTCATTGAGCCAATAGCTGAAAAGAGAAGTGTCACCATCCAAGAGCTGTCAGAACATGAGATGGTCCCGCCCTCTCTTACGATAGTTATGAACAGACTTGGTTGCAAAGACTTTGTGAATGAATTGGGCCAATTATGCTTCTGAATTCATTCATGTTAAGATTCCAAATGTAATGTTATTTAATCAATCAGATTAAAGTAAAGCCCATAGTAAACATTTAATTGACACAGTTTAATAAGTATGTTCAAGTGCAAATTAAATGACAACATCATTTTAGAAATTAAATAAATAAATAAATTAAACAAATAACTAACATAAATAAATAAATAAACATACATATAAGTAAACAAACCCTGCCACTTCCAATAGCTATTTAACTTCTAAAATAAAATTACCCACCTAATGACAATAAGCATCACATCGATCATAGAAGTCCGATCGTAATATGTCACAGGAATTTAAACTTATCACTTCACCTACTCCATTTTAAAGAGGTATTTTTAAGATCACCAGCCAAGCCATGCTCAATATCCTTGGCCCTCCATTATCCTGGGGGGGAATGAACGTCTACCAAAACACTATCTGTCTGTCGATTCCTCACCTCGCTAGAGAACTGCGTTCTCTCCACTAATTTTTTCTGATTTTCTCATTTCAGGTCTAACCTATGGATTCCACCCGGGCACCTCGGCTCTCCCTTCCTATCCTAATATTCAGTCAGCTTTTGCTGATTGAACCAGAAATTGTGGATCATCTTATTTAAAAAGAGATCGACAACCACTTTATGTTTGACCATTCTCTGCCCCACCACTCAAGGTTTCACGCATTTGTCCCATAAGCAGTGCAACTCGCAAATTCTCCATCACTGGCTTCTTTCTAACAATCGCAGAATCCCCCACCTTATCCAACTTTAAGATGATATTCTAATCACCCCCCCACATTGCCTCCAGCCAAACACCTAGAGATCACCAAAAGGTTTTCGCCAATCTAGGTATTCTGCTCGCAGAAGGCTGGACCCAATACATTTATCGAATTTCTAGGCATCAACTTCGATTTGCTCAAATTCCGAGCTTCTCATCCTAAAGAGAAAATTGGCTGAATAATTTCTCTTTCTCTTGTATTATAAGAAAGAGACTTGAGTTAAACACATACTGTTATCTATCCTCGGCCACCTAAAATTCACAGTGCAAATTTACCTCAAACTTGCCTACTCCAGCTCCCTACCACAAGTCACGATTTAAAAGGAACAATTTCTCTCTCAAAACCCACCCACAATGAACTCCGCTTATGGATTGCTTCCTTAAGCTATGGAACGGCTGTTCCTTCTGCAGAGATTGTTCGCACCCCCATTAGATATTTGTCTATTTACTAGTGCTACCCCATCAGTTGGTTTCCAAGGGTACTCGGAGGCCACTGGTTGCCACCACATGGCCCCCTCAATCTATTTCCACTCTAGAAACCATTGTTCATCAGCTTTCTTCAAACTGTGCCCAATGGTCGCTGCCGCCATACTATGGGGAGACAAATGGTCCACCTCTAGGATTCTCATTCATTGTGTTGAGGAAGAAACAATATAATGCATAGACAAAGGCGTTCCTACTCTCTAAGCTTTAATGCTACTTTTAAGATGTCTTATTTGACATTAGTCAATTTATCATGTCTGCATAATATGTGCCAGGTTGCTAAACCAAATCACTGACTCTCTCTCATTTTCTTTCCAGAAACTTTGGTCACTGGCTACAGAAGTGGACCCCAACTCAACGCCTGTCCACCCTTTCCACAAATGACGTTACCTTAAGCCACCCCCATTATAACCTCCACCAAACTCCATGTCACTTACCATTAAAGTAGTAGCCTTCAGACCCTTCAGTCACACATCACAGCATGAAACATTCAAACTCAACCCTCACTCCAACCCACCATAGCAGATCTAATTTTGTGTGATGAGGAAAGAAAGGGTTTCCTCGTCCTGCAAAGTAAGATAGATCTATTGACAAGAACATTTCATTTACATCTTCAAATTCCTGCCCTCACCCACCCAGTCCAAACTCTCTAGTATACCTACACTCGAGGATTAAGAAACAAACCCCCTAGCCCCCCTTTTTACTGATGACGCTAATCGTCCAGTATCACATCTCTGGTTCCAGAAACACCTCAAAGTTGTCCACCTCTCAGGATTTCCTCCTGAACCAATCTCCAGCCATTCATTCAGAATTGGCATTATTAAAAGGCTTTCCCAGCACCAGATCCAGACCCTCGGTCATTGGTTCTCTGAAGCCTTTCAAATCCTACATTCGCCTCAGTCTTTTCATCTCAAAGAACCCAAGTTGTTTCTTTCAAACCTCTCAGCCCAATCTTTGCCACCCCTTTATTCTCAAGCCAAAGCCATCTATCTGTCCATCCCTAGCAAACCCCCTCACGGCTCAGACTCCCGCTGGAGTAAATATGAGCCTCAGCTCTCGCAGAGCTTAACATGACCCTTTTCTGTTCCCCCTGCCAGCATTGAGTTTCTCTGCTGTTTCCTCCTAGTTCTTTACTCCCTGCCTTTGACTCTCATGTAATCTCCTTGCTACATCAGCATTACCCTAAGCCCAGATTTCGCAGGGGACAACATGAGCTTTGGCTCTGACAAGAGCCTACCCTATCACCCTCTCCTTTCTGTTCCCCCTGCCAGCGTTGAGTAATTCCGCTGTTCCCTCCTAGCTCTTTACCACTTGCCTTTGGCTCTCTAGTAACCTCCTTGCTCCATCTGCATCACCCAAGCTCAGACTCTCGCAAGGGTCAACACGAGCTTCGGCTCTCGCAAGAGCCTCACCTTTCACCCTCTCCTTTCTGTTCCTCCTGCCAGTGTTGAATGCTTCCACTGTTCCCTCCTAGCTCTTTACCCCTTGCCTTTAGCTCTCTTGTTACCACCTTGCTCAATCTGCTTCAAGCTCAGACTCCTGTAGGGGTCAACACAAGTTTGGCTCTCCCAAGAGCCTCCCCTTTCACCCTCTCTTTTCTGTTATCCCTGCCAGCGTTGAGTACTTCCGCTGTTTCCTCCTTGCTCTTCACTCCTTGCCTTTGGCCCTCCCATAACCTCCTTGCTCTATCTGCATCACCCTAAGCTCAGACTCCTGCAGGGGTCAATGCAAGCTGTGGCTCTCGTAAGAACCTCACCTATCAACCTTCCTTTCTGTATCCCCTGCCAGCGATAAGCGCTTCTGCTGTTTCCTCTTAACTCTTAGCTCTTAACTCCTTGCCTTGACTCTCAACTAACCTCTTTGCTCCATCTTAGCATCACCCTAAGCTCAGACCCCCACAGGGGTCAACACGAGCTTCGGCTCTCGCAAGAGCCTCCCCTATCACCCTCACCTTCCTGTTTCCACTGCCAGAAATGAGTGCTTATGCTGCATCATTTTATTTATTCTGTATTGTCATTCATCAGTATCTACACTTTGTTTAATCTGTATAGTAGTTCATTAGCATTACATGTTATCATATTCTGTATTTTGCATAGTAATCTCGTTACCTCCAACAGCTCTCCCCTTTTTCTTTCCCCCCTGTCAGCGTTGTATGCTCCCTCTGCTTTAGTATCTTATTGCATAATTTGTATATTCTGTATAATAATTGTTGGATATTTGTGTTTCTTACAGCTGCTCTCCCCCCTTTTTCCTGCCCTGCAGCATCAAGCACCTTTGCAGCTCCAATTAATTTATTCTGCATAATGGTTATTGTTATATCTTGTATTGTATCATTTGCATAAAAATTGTATAGTATATCTGTTACTTCCAGCCACCTTGCCCATTTCTTTTCCCATTCCAGTGTGGAGTGCTTCCGCTGCACCAGTTTATTTGTTTTCCATATAGTTATTGATAAAATGTCTACATTGTGTTCATTCTGCATAGTAGTCCATTTGTATTTCATGTATTTTATTGTGTATTTCTGGATAATAATCACGTTACT